TCAGGTCCTGGGAGGCCACAGTCAGGTCACCCCAGAGCCTTCCCTTCTCCAGGCTGAACAATCCCAGTTCTCCCAGCCTCAATCCCAGCTCTCTCTCCAGCAAAACCTTGGGGAAGGTGTGCCCGGGTCGGTCGCTGTCTTTTCCAGGTGAAGGCAAATAAAAGTTGACTTTCTTCAGTTTCCCCCATGGAGACGGGCTGGGAGAGGTGGGAATGTTCAGGCTGGAGAAGAGAAGGTTGTGTGGAGACCTCAGGGCACCTTCCAGGGTCTGAAGGGGCTCCAGGGAAGCTGGAGAGGGACTGTCCATCAGGAACTGGGGGGACAGGACAAGGGGGAGTGGGTACCAGTGGAAAGAGAGGAGGTTTAGATTGGGAAAACCCCTTCCCTGTGAGGGTGGTGAGGGACTGGAAGAGATTTCCCGGAGAAGCTGTGGCTGCTCCATCCCTGGAAGTGTCCAAGGCCGGGTTGGACAGGGCCTGGAGCACCCTGGGACAGTGGGAGGTGTCCCTGCCCATGGCAGGGGTGGAACTGGATGGTCTTCAAGGTCCCTTCCAACCCAAACCATTCCGGGATTCCCCGTTTTTTTTCCTGAATATTGGGGGTTGATTCCAAGGGTATGGAATTGCCCCGTTTGTACAGCACAATAGAAGGTTCGTTATTAACGAGCAGTGCTGAAAATGCTTTTATATTGGACACTGCACGTTTGTGCATCGTCCTGATGGCACAGAAACGCTGAAAAATAAAACTCTAACGCCGTCATTTCAGTATGAAAAAGAGGAATTCTTTATTTCAGTGCAACAGCCCCCCCCAGCTATCTCACATATTCATTTATATCTACGTAACTAACACAGAACTAATACATATTCACCCTGTTTCCCAAACCCCACATTGCTAAATATTGCCCTGAATCATTTCCACATTCAAATCACTTCTCAGAGCTCATTTACATCAGAGCAGGGGGCTTTTGAGGGTCTCTGGGGGTCGTTTGGGGAACATCCCATTCCTCAAATTATCCTTTTATGGTCACGAGCCTCCTAAACCCAGTTTCTTGTCCCTGAATGGATCCCGGCTGTGTGCTCTGGCCAAGATAAACCTTCTTATCGGGCCCCCAGTCTTTATTTTCAAGGCTCAGACGTCCCCTTTGCACACATTTACCACCGACACGGGTGAAAAGAGCCCTGTCTGGGAGAGATGAAGGTGTTCCCAAATACTCCCAAATTGTTGGGATAAAAAAAACCCTCTAACACGGTTTTATTTTTTTTTTTTAGAAAGCAAAGCATGACTTTATTTGTGGCCAGAGATGTTTGTGACACTCTCAGAGTCCAGCCCACACAGACCTTGAGATAGAATTTTTCTACCTATTTACACATTTTTAGCGAACGAAGAAATTAATGTTCACTGGTTCTTAATCACAGAATTCCTTTAATTAGTTAGTATTCCACCTCCTCCTGGCCATTAATTGGTGACAACTGCCCTTTTCTGATAATTAGTTCACATCTTTAGTCTTCTTCGTAGCTTTTTCTCTCCGAAGGGACTTCCCAAGGCACGTGTTGAGTCTTCGTTGGCCTTCTCCTTTCTCTGCTGATTTCTGCCCAAAGTCCTTCCCAAATCTGGGTTCCAGATGTCCAGGTTCAACCACACCTTCCTCTCTCTCACCTTCGTTCCTCGAAGCAGACCAAGGTTCATTTTGAACCAAACTCCCAGGTTTTAGTGCTTTTCCCAAGCTGGTTTCCCACAGAAGGAGCTTGCGACAACCTTTTGCTAAAAAAAAAGGGATTTAAGGTCCAACACGGCATCTCTGAGTAATTAAAATAACTAATCAACAGGTTAATTAAAGCTCTTTGAAATCTGAAAAGGCATCTCATTCCCACCAAAGGAATTGCCAAGGCTCAGCACCATTTGTTGCAGTTAAAGAGGGAACACCGGGCATCTCCACCCAAACTTCAGCTGGGGTAAAAGGAAGGATTCCCAAAAGTTTTGGGAAAATGGCCGTGGATAATAGATCTGGGAATAACAGAGAGGGAGCTGGGACTGGAGGATGTTTAAGGAACATTCCAACCCCTTTGCTGCCCACAAAAACTGGATTTTTTTTTTTCCAATTTAAGCCAATAATTATGACTCAAGAGAGACGTGGATTATTTATTATTATTTCTTTATTAATGATTATTTATTTATTATCGATAATTTATATATTGTTGATTATTTATTTCGTGAGTTGGCTTTTGTGGGATTCCACAAACCCAGCACCCCAAGCATCAAAACTTTTTATATTTCTCCATTTTAGCAAACACAGGAATTAGTGTTCCCTGGCTTTGTGATTCTGTGAGTCCGTGATTCCGTGATTCTGTGATTCCATGATCCCATGATTCCATGATCCCGTGAT